CAGTTGCCGCTTCACCTGAAGCTCTTTATTCCCAGCATCTATTGAATCTTTGGCTTTGTCGTTGCAATGCATGGTACACCGGGCCAGGCGGTCCTAAAGCAAGAAGGAAGAGAAGGCTGAGAGGCTGGGTTCCATTTACTAAGTGCTCATCATGTGCTAGTCTTGGCATTCATATCTGGATCAGTTAAAGGAATACTAAGTTCAATTAATTAAGATTGTCTTGGGTGAAACAGAAGGTCACACCAGGAAGATCCAGACAAACCATTACTAGAAAGAAGGGGAACGAGAGGGTAAATTATGTGGAAACCGCTGTACTATCTTGAAACGTCTTGATTCTTTATTGTCTGTTTTTGTGACAGAGGAACACTCAATTCAATTCAAATATTTATTGAGGACCAGTCATTTTTCTAATGTTGTGGAATATAGCAATGAGTAAACAGATACAAGTTCTTGCCCCCATGGAACTTGCATTTCATTGAGGGGAGAGACCAACAAAATCAGTAAATGGACCTGTTGAGGAAACCATTGGACATATGAATCTGGAGTTCAGGAGTGAGGTCTGGTCCTGAGATGTGAATGTAGGAGTTATCCGATACAGATGATACTTTTAGACCAGACAAGTAATTAGAAAAAAATTAGAAAAAGAGACAGGGTTCCAGTATAGCCTGGGCATTTCCAACGCTCAAGAGGTTGGAAAGGAAAGTGCCAGCAAAGGAGGCCAAGAAAGAGGGAAAGGGAGAGAGGTGCTCTGATGGCCAAAGGATAAAGTGCTTCGGAGAGGTGAGGGAGTCACTGCATAATGATGCAGATAGGTTGATTAAGATGAGGACTGCACAATGATCACTGGATTTATTCCCAAGGAGGTGCACTCACAACTGCAAGAACAGTTCTGGTACAGTGGAAGGTGGAAGTCTGCATGAATCAAGACTACAAAGAGAACAGAAGGAGAAAATTATATAGTAATCCAAGAATCAAGTTTTCAAAGACCTCGTCTATAAAATTAACTGTTAAATGAACAAAGAAATCCTTTGGAGGGTTTTCCATGATCTTGGAGAAATTATCCCTTCATAATGGCAGTAATTTTGAAGAGTTTTTGTATAGCACAATTGTAAAAAATGTATCATACATAAGGTGCAATTTCTTCTTTTTTATTTTTATAAATTAATTTATTTTGAGAGGTGGTGGTGGTGGGGTCTCTCACTATGTTGGCCCTGGCTGGGTTTGAACTCCTTCCTGGGTTCAAGTGATCTTCCCACCTCCCTCACCTTTCTTAGTAGCTGGGACTAAAGGCATGTGCCACCATGCTTGATTAGGTGTGATTCTTTTTCCTGTGAATGGAATCTCAGGCTATGAGAGACTGGTTCAGAAGAGGGCTCTAAATATACATGGAAGAAGGGAATAAAATGAAAAGGTAAAAGGCAACTCTCTTAGGAATGTCAGGGGGCGTTTCTGAGCCAGGCATCAGTCAACAAAAATGCTTCATATAAATGACCACTCCCAGTGACACCAGAACTGCCCCTTGGGTGAGGCAAGCAGGGGTAGTCTTGGGTGGGTCTTGTAAGTTCACAAAATAAATGCAGGGTTTTGCTCTAACTGTGTACCTTTAAAGACTGTCTTATTCTACTTTCCTGGGAATTCTTAAAAATGGATCAACATACGTTTTAGAAAATTTTATACTACATAGCATACACACTATCTGTATGTGTCTAAAACACTCCAAACTTTACAACACAAAGTATAAGGGCTTTTGGTCATAAACTCCCCTGGCAACTCCTTTTTTTTTTTTTTTTTTGTCCTGGAGATTTATCCAGGGGCCCTTAACCCACTGAGCCATATCCCCAGTCCTTTTTTATTTTGAGATAGTGTCTTCTTAAGTTGCTTAGGTCCTTGCTAAATTGCTGAGGCTGGCTTTGAAATTGTGATCCTCCTGCCTCAGCCTCCTGAGCTGCTGGGATTGCAGGCTTGTGCCACCACACCAGGTCTGGTAATTCCTTTTTACATCATTGTCTTATGGAAAAAGATAGTTCAACTTAAAACTCAACTTTCAGGATCTTTTCAAAATTTCAAACCCTGGGAAGATTGATTAGCATTAGGACTATTACAAATTTAAACAGAACTAAGACACTAAAGCCAAGAGCCTGAACAAACACTTGTTATCTCCTGCAGAGTACATCAAGGACTAGACACCTCTATTTGGGGTATTCCTCACCTGGAACTTCTCCAACTCACTGGTCACCAAGGCCTGGGCTTGAGCCAGAGGTGCATGGCAGCGCTCAATGCACTGGTGTACTTGCTGCATGGAAGCCTGGCTGTCCTCACAGCAGCTGGCGCTGCACCGGAACATGAGGCCCTGGGGAGAGAGGACAGAGCCTGGTCAGGTAGAAAAGCTTCAGAGGGACAGAGATGATCAAGTAGTAAATACAAGGCTTAGGAGGTTACATGTGTATTTACATGTCTCTCTTAACCTGCTTTTATCTTCCATTAGAATAGATATCAGGACCTTAAAACCACGACCAAGAAAATTATCCTGTGCTTAGTACAGTGTTTCATGGCATTCTTATGGCTAGCTCATTGGTACCTGTTGGTACCAATGGCTGAGTGGATAGGGAAGGAAGAAATGGACAGGTGAAACCAGGTAACCCACAGGTACAGAGGTCGGCAACCTAGTAATCTTACTTCCACCAAATGGCATTCGGCCAATTAATCCTTGACTCAAGCGACAGTATAAAGGAAACCCACAATCCGGTGAGGGAGGCGGGACGAATAATCACAAAACATTTAGGGCGGGGGTGGGGTGGGGGTCAAAGCAGAACAGTACACACACTAGCGTTTTGTAATGCAAGGTTCGGGGCAACAGAACCGGGCATGACCTGGCTATTGGGGAGACCGGGAGATTTTTTTTCTACTTGACCTTCCATCTTGTCCTTTCTGGGTCTCGGGCTGTTCACCTGCGTAAGGGGCCGAGCCAGAGAGGATCGGGGGGCGGGACGAACGCCCCACACACCCAAGCCTTCTAACTCTGGCCCGTGGAACCCTCTCATCCAGGTCGAACTGGGTGGACAACGGCCTACAGCGTGGCCGGGCCAAGGATTTCACCCCTTAAACCTAAGCTCCAAAGCCCTGTCTGAGGGGGAGGCGGGCTGAAGGACGCCACGGTCACCCCAGAGGCGCCCAGACTCGGTCTGCAGGGATGGGACAGCGGTGCCGCGCATAGAGCAGCAGCTGAGGGAGTCTGGGAATCAGACCGCGGGAAAGGGGACCTCAGTTCGGTCCCCCTTGTTACCTGCATCTTCCGGATGTTCTCCCTCTCCACACTCTTCACCATGGAGTCCACCGCCTCCTGCACCCGGAGCTGCTGCACCTCCGCCATGGCGACCCCGCGCAACGCCGCGCCGGCGCCCACATGGACTCAGCGCACGTTCCGCCCCTCGCCGCCGCGTCCCGGCTCTCGGCCCGCCCTCCCCAGGCCCGTGCTGCTCCCTGGCGTCCAAAGGGAGCAATTGCACGCCAGCGTTTGCGCACGCCGCGCAGTCCCTGGTCCGCCTCCCGCAGGCTCGTGCGCAGCCAGCCACCCGCAACCGCGGGCATGTGCGCCCGCCCGGCAGCGAGCGCAGCTGCGGCTGGTTGCCCACCTGCCTCTCTTTTTTCTCTCCTCCATTATTTCTTCTTCCGTTCCATCCTTAAAATTCTTAAAAAACAAAACAAAACGTGGAATTAACATACAAACACTCAGATCTTAGGTGTACAACTTGATGAGTTTTAACAAGCCGTGTCCATTGCCAAACTCCGCTCTTTCTGTTACTATAGATTACATTTTTCCCATTCTAAAGCTTCATGTGTATGTGATTATTGAGCATATACTCATTGTGTCTAGCTTTTTTTTTTTCCCCCACTTAGCATAATGCTTTTGAAGTAGAACCATGTTTTTGGTTCCCTTTTTGCTGCCAAGGAGTATCACTTTGAATGGGCAACCACACTTTATCCTTTCCCTTGTTGGAAGGCATTTGTCCAATTATTAGCTATTATGAATAAAGCAGTCACTAGGAACATCTCTTAGCAAGTCTTTTTCAAGACACAGAATTTCTTTAATCTTGGGTAAATATCTAGAAGTGAAATTGGGTAGGTGTGTGTGTGTGTGTGTGTGTGTATATATATTATAAAAAATTAGCATCAAGGGCAGGGCGGGGGGGGGGGACAGATATCCAATCAATGGCGAAGCATATATGTGAAAGCAACAGGAGGCTGTTTTTGAACTCTGGAGTGGTTCTATCTAGCATGCCCCACCGCACCCCCATCTTTACTATCCTAAACGTTCATATATCAAACACATTGTGGGCACTGTGCTAGGTAGGATCTTGGGTGCAGAAGGTAGCATCAGTGAGAAGGGGAAGTTGACAGTTGCAGGTAGTATTGGAATAACAGTGCTATAGGAGATGGCCCCACGGGCAAGAAGGAAATGAGCGCCCAGGTGCCCCAGGAACGCCTTTGCATTCAATCTGATTGAATTGAGGAGCAGGCCTTCGCTGGGCATACAAGAGTCTCGGAGGCCAGGCTCCGGAGGCTGTCTTGAGCAAAACAGAGAGCAAACCAGATTGAAGCCTTGGGGAAGTGCCTGGAGCGGGGAAGGAGACTAGTGGGTGATTGGGACACAAAGGAATGAGGTCCTATGGGTGGAATTCAGGCATTTGCTGCCATTGGGCACTAGATGGCAGGGCAACTCTGGTTTGAGGGCTGTGGGCATCTGGACTCCAACCATGATCCTTTCAAGGAAATTGTTCTCGCCTGCAGGGTGGCGCACGCCCTGTAATCCCATCAGCTCTGGAGGCTGAGGCAGGAGGATGGAGAGTTCAAAGCCAGCCTTAGCAAAAGCGAGGTGCCAATGAGACCTGTCTCAAAATAAAATACAAAACAGGGTTGGAGATGTGGCTAAGTGGTCAAGTGCCCCTGAGTTCAATCCCCAGTCCCCTCTCCTCCCCAAAAAGAAAGTTGTTCTTGGACTAGGGGTAGCACAGTACTTAGCTCTGTCGGTCAAAGTCTTTGGTTTGATTTTCTAGCATCAATAAAGAAAAGACCATCATCCCAAAGTTGTTCTTCTATCATCAGACCCACGTGCCAATGAACCCCCTGGAAATCCATGTTTCAGGGTCCATGACATTCTTTCCACTTAAAATCAGGCTACAGACTGCTCCCAGCAGCAGCTGGAACCCAGATGATGCTAGTGACCAGGTGTTGTTTTTAAGGTTTTTTTAAAAATGGATTATCTGATTTAATTTCCACAACAATTCTCTGGGATGGTTACTTTGTTATGCACTTTCCCCCACTCAGGGGCAGAAATCCCAGGCCTAAGAGGTGCAGTCACTTGCCAAAGGTTGCAAGCTAGACAACCAACCCTGATGGGCTGACATCCATTTCTTACTGTAGAAGTAAGAAATCTCTTTTGTCCAGGCCTGAGAGGCTGTTGTAAACAGAACAATTCCAACAAGCTTTGAAGCTTTGGAGAAGTGGCTGGAATAGGAATCTCAAAGTATATTAAGTTATAAATCCCATGGAAAGTTCTTTCTTCTTTAGGGCATAGTCTAAAACTCCTCACTTTGCTCCCATATTCCTAAAATGTCAGACTAAATATTTCTGGCAACTTCTAGGTGTAGGAGCCCAGTTAATTATACTAAAATGAGTTTAAAAGTCTTCCAGTAATATGTCTTTGTCAGTTTATGCAAACTAGTGTATGCAAAATGAATGGCTTTTCAAAAATATAATTTTTATTTTTATTGTTGTTTATTTTTTATATGGTGATGGGGATTGAACTCAGGGCCTCATGCATGCTAGGAGGCACTTTACCACTGAGCTATCTCCCCAGCCCCCAAATAAATGGCTCTTTAGTTTTTATGAAAAGTGATTCCTGACTTCTAGTTGGCTTTGGACATCAATGGGAAGCATGGTGAAAGCAGAGTTTAATCTCATATTAGGAAGCTCAGATACCTGATTGTGTTATTATTCTGGTGCTCTGAGAATAGATAATGAGGTTTCAGGATTATCTGGCTCTAGCCTTGACTGACTCACTGGAAGCAAGTCTGAGTTCTTTTAGGATCTGGGGTGCTTAGTTATGTAGTCTTGATTTCTTTCTGATCTCTTCTGCACTTCTGATCTCCACTGAACTCAGGTCTTTGGGGGAGGCCCAACAGTGGCAGATACACTCCCAGTCACTCCAGCAGAGACCATGGCTCTAGATGGATCAGGGCTCTTCCTTATTATATTTAGGATGTGGGTGGGACAAATGCGGACCTGAAGAGCTGGGATGAGGGGAGGAGTGAATTTTGCTCATTGCTGCCACATTTTCTAATCCTCAGGTTAGTAGTGGGTGACAGCCAAAGAACTAGCTATAGCCAAGTCTGGTTGAAGAGTTCTGGATGAACATTTATGGATCAATGAGCATTTCTTAAGTTATCATTTTCAAATTATGATACTCCTTGGTAGATTAGGAAGCCTTGCTGTGGAAAATACAACCCTCACCCAAAGGACAATATTTTCTGCGGAACAAGGTATTCAACCTTTTAGAAGCCTAAAGTATTAAAATACACTTGAAACTTACAATGGTTATTTTATGTTTATTTTATAAAAATAAATAAAGCAAATGTTTTATGATATATCATACCACATAAAAGTCTCTTGAATCTATGAACATCTCTCTAGCCTACTATTTACCACCCTAAAGTTTTCATTATTATTATTTGCTTGGGCTGCTATAATTTGCCATGCTTAAGTTTTTGCATATCTTCCAATTGAGTCATCTTTTATTTGGCCTGTAGAATATATTTATATAGTCTTATAATGAGCTCTTTGTCAGTTGAAAGTGTCACAAATATCTTTTCTATTGTGTGACTTGCCTTTTCACTTTTTAAATAACATGAATTGATGAAAGAAATCTTAATATAAGTGTAGTCCTAGTTGTAATTTTCCCCTTCATTGGTCATTCTTTTTGCATTTTGTTAAAAAAGATGTTTGTGAACTCCAAGACATTAATGTATTCTTAAGATGTTAAAAATTGTATTTATTTATTTTATTCAGTCTTTTACCTTTTTAGTATATACATTCTGATTCTATAAATGTCTCTTAATACTGCTTTAGCTATTGCCACATTTCAATGTGTAGTATTTTTTTCAAACATTTTCTAATTTCCATCACAAATTCTTCGATTCATAGGTTATTTAGAAAAGTATTTTTTAATTTCCAAACAGATGGGTAATTTTTAGGTAATTTTTTTTGTGATTTGATTATGGTCAGCAAACATACTCTGTATAATTTTGGTCTTTTGATTTGTTGAAACTTGCTTTATGGTACAGAGAAGTCTTTTCTGATTGGCTCCCTTCCATCATGTATGCTTCTCTGTCATGTATTTTCTTAGCACCTTGTACTGTGACAGTGCCTGTCACTACAGCTCATTACTTGTCCCGGATTTTTCTTTGATAGATTAAACACTCAAAGAGGACAGGGACCATGTGTGTTTTTCACTGCTGTTTCCAATTTCTTTGCTTAGTGTCTGGCAAATACTAACTCTTTAGTAAAAATTTGTTTAATGACTGAATAAACTAATTAATTTCATTAAAAAGTAATTAATCAAGTTACTAAAAATAATTGGAAACCAGAGAAAAGCAACAATAAATAGATAAAAGTGTAAAAATCCATACTACCCTACTATTTTACTTTTTTTGCAGTGCTGGACATTGAATTCAGGTTTTTTTTGGGGGGGTGGGCACTGGGGATTAAACTCAGGGGCACTCAACCACTGAGCTATATCCCCAGCCCTATTTTTTTTGTGTGTGTGTGGTCCTGGGGATTGAATCCAGGGCCTTGTGCATGTGAGGCAAGCACTCTACCAACTGAGGTATATCCCAGCCTTAGCGTCTCACTTGATGAGGCTGGCTTTTAATTCTCTATCCTCCTGCCTCAGCCTCCCGAGAGCTTCTGGGATGACAGGCATATGCCACTGTACCCAGTCATTTATTTATTTTTAGTCTGACTTCAAGATACACACAAGGCATTCATTGCCAGGTGTAGGAGGGACATAACACAATGATAACAGTTAACTCTTTCAGTTAATTCTTTGTATTTTATTTAGAGACAGGGTCTCACTGAGTTGCTTAGTGCCTCACTTTTGCTGAGACTGGCTTTGACCTCTCAATCCTCCTGCCTCAGCCTCCTGAGCTGGTGGGATTATAGGCATCTGCCATTGTGCTGGGCCATGTTTTTTTTTTTTTTAATATTGTTTTTAGTTCTAGATGGACTCTCAATGTCTTTATTTATTTTTATGTGGTGCTGACGATCGAACCCAGTGCTTCACACATGCAATGCAAGCACTTTGCCACTGAGCTATAGCCCCAGCCCCTGTTTTTGTTTTTGTGTTTTGGACCAGGGATTAAACTCAGGGACATTTAACCAAT